ATATGCTAATTTTTTGGGACAGGCATTTTGGGTTTTCATGAGCTGTATGCCATAATCATCAGTATTAAAACAATTAAAGACCTGAAATATTTCAGTTGGTGTGCAATGAATGTGAAATATATGAAAGTTTCATTTGTATCATTACATTATGGAAAATAATGACCTTTATCACAATATGCTAATTTTTTAGAAGGACCTGTAGACATAGCTTTTGTCTCTTGGTTGACCTTGGAGTCCTCCCAGAGGAGGTGGCTGTGGACAGATATGTCAGGATCTCCAAGTTCAAGCAGACTGGATAATAAACAGAACTGTGACCCAACTGTTGGGGGGGGGGGGGGTTGTTTTAAAATACCACAAACAAGAACAAATGCTTTTTTTTTATTCAGACGATAGGAACAATACATTCTAACAGATTCATAAAAGGAATTGGAAAAAGAAAAGTTCATAAACTACAGTAACATCATTCTGGAAGATTGTCCAACTGGGTCAGGGTGTCTGAATTAAAATCCAGAAAAGACCGGGTCAACACTTTTGAGTCCAGCATCATTAGATCTGTCCAAAAACTGAACTTCTCACTCCAGAGTTCTCATTTTTATCCACAGATTGAATCAAAACCAAAAGATGTCTCTGTTCTTCCAGGTTCCACGTGAATCTGAGCCACCAGTCGGGGATCGCTCTGCATTACAACCCTCGTTTCAACGAGAACACCGTGGTCCGAAACACCAAGCTGTGGGACAACTGGGGCTCCGAGGAGCGGAGTGGGGGGATGCCCTTCCAGCGTGGGCAACCTTTCATGGTATGTCAACAAAGAACACCCAACATTCTGAAGCTGTTTTGTTCCTGAACTTTTTCCACAGGAATGTGTTTAATTTAATAGCCCAAGCCCATTCCCATTGTTCCCAATACTGAAACAGCACTACGTGTTTTCATAACATCCAGGCTTGATTACTGCAATGTGCTTCTTTTTGGAATCAGTCAGACCTCTACAGCACGTTTGCAACTGGTTCAAAATGCTGCAGCCCGATTTTTAACTGGTACAGGCAAAAGAGAGCGCATTACTCCAGTTTGCTTCCCTTCACTGGCTCCCAGTTCACTTCTGAGTTCATTTTAAAATCCTCTTGTATGTTTTTAAATCTCTAAACAGTTCTGGCCCCTCTTATCTCGCTGGTCTGCTTCAGCCCACAGCGCTCTCTGAGGTCAGCAGACCAGATGCTTTTATTGGTCCCAGGCATGACTTAATTTGAGCCGGATCCTGTCAGAACTGGATCCGGGAACGCTCTTATTTTGAAAGGGTGCGTTCTGACAACTGTTTGCATGGATCCGGCAACTCTCAGGCTTATTAATAACAGTTATGAACTAATACGACTGCCTTGAATGAATAAAACTTATACTGGATGTGTAAACTGAAAATAATTACATAAACACTAGTTTTAAACACAACAGACGACACAACACGACTTATTATTATATACGATCATCTGCCTCTTCAAGTGAAGCTTTTCCGCCTCCACCCTTAAAAAATATCCACCCCTAAAAGAGTGGTGGGGGTGAGTGCCGAGCTAACCACGCAGGAGGAGCCCAAAGGCAGGCGCCTGGACGTTCACACGTGGAGTCGGACAACAGCGAGCAGGGACCGAGTCGGGCTCGGCTCCGTCAGTGGGGGGTGGCGGGTGCTAAGAGTGTTTGCAAATGTAGGTAAACGTAGAGGTTCGACAACCCATTAAAATACAAAAAATTAAAATGCTTTTTAACATATCTCCTCCATAAAACCGGGCCTGTAGAACCATCTGAACCTTCTGCTGCTAATGGGTCAAGAAGTTCTTTCTTTTACAGTTAAAACATCAAAGTGTCAGCCATTTTGTCCATTTAGATTTTTTTTCAGCATTTCTATAGGAATTTTATTTTCTTCTAACAATTCTGCTCAGTCAAAAAAAAAAAAGTTGTACAGTAAATATATATATATATATATATTTATTACCAGAAACATTTGAAGTTCTTGGTGCTGCGTTCAGGAACATCTTTAACAATCAGAAAAAACAAGTTTTGACCCTTTGGTTTCTTTCAGCTGACCATCATCTGTGAGAACAACTTGTTTCGGATCTTGGTGAATGGGAGGCAGACCCGCACCTTCAACCACCGCTTCACTCCAGTCCAAAACATCAACATCTTGGAGATCGACGGGGACGTCCAGCTGAGCTCAGTCAGCGTCTGAAGGTCCTGCCGGTTCTGTTGGACGCAAGACGCGTTACAGAACGAACGGCAGCCATCTTATCATCAACACCGTGTTTTACCTCCAGCGCTTTGATCTGTGTTCATCACAAGACGAATAAAACTTTTTTTAGTTAAAATATTCAACAGAACCAGATCAGTGTTTCGCATTTCATCTGCTGCACGAAGCAGAAAAAAATCTAGTCGTTAAAAAAAGATGTTACTATTAATAAAAATGAGTTTTTCATTGTACGTTTTAGTTTCTGCCTCATCAAACTACAAAAAGTTTCATTTTGTTCACTAAATTCAATTTGATGCTTTAAAAATGCTGAACGATGATTTTGATTCATTAAACTAGAAAATAAAAGCTTTACATGTAATCGCTTCCTGCACCAATAAAACATCTCGTCGTGACTTTTCTTTGACCCGTTTGTTGTTAAAATGTTTCAGTCTGAACTCCTGCACAAGCTCCAGATCTGCTCCCAGAGGAAACAGGAAGACAAACCGTTTCAGATCGGTGCACGTTTCACTTAAATTTAACTTCTACGGTCTTTTAAAAGCTGTGAATCAAATTTAAAACCTTCAAAAATGTTGAAAAGAACCAGTAAACTGTAAAATTTATTTCAAAGTAAATTTTATGACTTAATTTAAACGTAAATCGTTTAAAAAAAACAGTAAACCAAGAGTGGAGAAGCTGATGCATGATGGGAGTTGTAGTTTTATTACTGTGTAAAAAATTGTCTAAAACCAGGCAGAACTACAGTCGAACAGAACCGACGAAGGTCGACAGAACTTTAAATGAGGTCGATGGAAGAAAAAACAACAACACGCGTTTATGATGAAACTGAAGAAATTTAAAACCTGAAACAGAAAATCAGAGTTCCTGAAACACAAAGGTTCACTACACATCCCCATCATCTTCATCATCTTCACGATTGGTCCCATACGGCAGATTTCATCCTGTCTTCACCGTTTAACAGATCCACCTGAAGCGTTACCACGGCAACCAGAGGCGCAGACAGCTTCCTTCACTCAGATCTATTCCCAACACCGCTCAGTCCTCCCTCGTCCTCCTCTTCCTCGCCTCTCCGGCTAAACTGACGCCTGCTGAGCCTCTCGGGGTCATGTGACGCCATGTTGCTGAAGTCTCTGAAGATGTCCTGAAATGTCTGGTCGTCTCCTGTGGACAAAAAGACCCACAAGTTAATGAGACTTGCTGCGGTGCGTTCAGGGGTCAGATAAACATGAATGAACTGACCTGCAGAACCGAAGACCCCCTCAGTGTCTCTCATCTCCTCGTTCATCCGAGCCATGCGCAGGCTGAAACACAGGAACAAACCTGAAGGTCTTAAAACAAGTTTGGACCTAAAGAGCTAAAGTCCACCAAAATAAAAGATTTAAAGCACCAGCAGACCAAACGGGAATCATTTCAATCTCACAAAATAAAAGCAGCTGGAGACGAAGGTCTCTGAGAGAATCCCGTTCATTTCACAACAAAGTTCCTGTGAATAAAATGAACTGATGTCAGGGAGAAAACAGGTCAACGTCTTTTTGACCTTCAAACAGAAACTAGACTTTCACAGTCCTCTAATGTGGACAGTCCTGTACAGAGGACAGTCCTCTAATGTGGACAGTCCTGTACAGAGGACAGTCCTCTAATGTGGACAGTCCTGTACAGAGGACAGTCCTCTAATGTGGACAGTCTCAGTCCTCTGAGGTCCACAGTCCAGTCAGATCCAGGTGCTGTGGTCCAACAGGTTCAAGGACCGTGTTGTTCACACTGACAGCTTTGATCAGAACCAACAGACTCACAGCGTGACGATGTCTGCGTTGGCCGTTTCCACGGCGATGGCCAGCGGGTCCTGCCCCCTCTCGTCCACAGCGTACTGGTTGGCTCCTCTCTTCAGCAGCAGACACACCTGTCTGATGGGACCAGTCAGAGCGAGCAGTCTGTTAGCAGCTTCGTGCGAGCAGGTGAGCGTTGGTGTGTATTTACCCGGTGTGACCGGCGGTGGCGGCGGCGTGCAGCGCTCCCCGCCCCCTCAGGTCTCTGTGGTTGATGTTGGCTCCGTTCTGCAGCAGGAACTCGCAGGCCAAAAGCGACCCCTGCAGGCAGCGCCCATAAAACAAGCGGGTTCACGGCGTTGTAGCGAACGAACGACTCAAAACATTTCTGAGACTAACTGATGCCGCCTCACCCCGACCGCCGCTCCGATCAGAGCCGTCCGGCCCTCCTCCTCGCCGACGCTGCCATTGACCTCCGCACCTTCAGCCAGGGCCGTCACCATGGCAACTAGATCCCCTACCACTGAGGCCCGATACAGACGCAGGCTCGCCTCGTCTTTGTGACGCCCTGAAACAGGAGCTCCGTCTTTACATCAGTCCAAAAACACAACATTCGTCTTTTAAAAGAAAGAAACAAACTTCTGATCTGCCAGAATCCTAAAAATAATCATGAATGAAGGAAGTACTGGTCCAAACGGAACTGGGTTTTAATAAAAACAGCTGGACGACTGGACTTACGGTCTGCGCTGCGCTGAACGAAGCTCTTCTCCACGTACTTTCCTCTGATCCACGCCTCCTTCTCTGCTCTGAAAGACCAAACCACACATCAGAGCGGGTTCTGTTCAGGAACCGGACACGAACATATAAAACCCGTTTACCTCGGACTGTCGGGTTCTGGTTTGGTCCGACCCTCCTCAGAACACTGAGCCTCGTAGATCCGGTTCGTGACATCGTTTCCCAAAACACAAAGCAGCTGAAGGAGAAGTGGTTAAAGGTTAACTTGATCAGGAAGAGCTGTGCACACACGTGTTCCTAGAACACGGGTCAGAACCAGCTAACAACACTCGTCTCGTTGGGTTCAGACCAGAACAAAACCAAGGAAAACTGGTCACTTCAAAATAAATGACTAAAAACGGAACGTTCTTTTTCAAACAATGAGTTTTAAAATCTGACGTTTTATTCTTAGATTTTACAGCAGAGTTGTTTGTTTGTTTGTTTATTTGTACCTTCAGCTGTTCTGCCTCCCAGGAGTCCAGAGTGAGTGACCTCACCTTCGACAGGTGAACTCCCAAACTCCTAAAAACACAGCGGGTCACTACACAAACATCTTCATCATCATCGGCACCCTCGTCATCGTGTGGCGTCTCACCTGTGAATACCTGAGCACTCGATGCACAGCGTGACGCCCAGGTTAATGGAGGCCCAGCGAGGCTCCTCCTCCCCACAGTCACAGCACCGCTGGTTCCCGGGGGCCCCCAGGGCCACGCCCAGCGCTGCCTGCCTCTGAGAAGGGGGGCATGGAGTGGTGTCCCCTCCAGGCAGGAGAGGGGGCGTGTCCTTAAGCTGAAGGCAGCGAGGGAGGAAACAGAGGTCAAAGGTCAACAACCTGCCTGAGTGTTTAGAGGAGTTAGTGCTGATGGGGTACAGTGGGCCACGGTGTGTGTGTGTACGTGTGTGTTGACCCGCCTGTGTGAGCTGTGTGTCCGCTCTCTCTCTGTAGGCGAAGTCGATGCTGCCCTGCAGAGCGCTGAGCCACGCCATCTTCAGCTGCTCCGAGTCGGCCTGCAGAACGCAGCACCTGACACACACACACACACAGTGCATGAGCACCTGCTGCTCAGTGTGTGTTCTTGTGTAGCTCGTTGTGTTACTGTCTCACCTCTGGACGGAGAGCAGCTCCAAGCAGAACCGGCGCTCAATGTGCTCCAGAGGTTTGACGGCACAAAGTCTGAGATCCTCGAACAGAACCGAGGCGTCTTCCTGCAGCGACACGAGTCAACAACAACAACAATCACAACAACACAACAACAGGCTGATCCATTAGATCAGAGCCACTGAACTAGAGACACACTGGACTGGTCACTGGTGGAGTTTGGTAAGGTGTTTGGCAGCCATCTTGTGAGGAGCTCTGTGTATCGCTGAGTTTACCTGAAGAAGGTTTGGGTCTGAAACACTTGGTACTGCTGGGTCATCGGTCCACAAGAGCTCAGAAAATCCTGACTTTAATAAACATCATGAACGATGTGAAACAAGAGGCAGCGTTCTGTAACGAGCCGGGTCAGCACCATCAGGGACAGAACACCGGCCCGACACACCACCATGGCTGGGATCACTCTAACCAGACCAGAACCAAACAGAACTTTAAGTACACGTTAGTCCGAGCAGAGCTCACTCACGCTGAGATCAGAGGACAGAGATGATATTTCACTTTATTACAGTTAAATATAGAATTTATTAGTTTTTACACTTGATTTCCATTTATTAATATTTTACAGTTGTCCAATTTAATAAACATTCTTCTCATGTTTTGGGGAAGCTCACAAACAGGAGAGTTTAGGTTATTTAAACTGGTATTTGTGGTCTGCTGGAAGGAACGAAGAATGTTGTTACATGAAGCTCTTTTCAAAATGGCGGCTCAAATTCTCATCTCCTGCATGAGGCCGACCCAGAGTTCCTCCGGCTCAGACGAAGCAGAACCAGAAACCAGCCTGATAATCCTCCCTGATGGAGGAGATTTGAAACAAACACGTGAATCAGAGCAGATTCTGCTGCATGGGTTCTGTTTGTGGTGATGATGATGAGGGATGAAGGTCAAAGCTTCTTCTGTTCCATTTCTCTAGGGCGGAACGGTGGAGCAGAACACAGCAGGTCGCAGGTTTGCCTCCCAGGTTTTCTGTGTGGAGTTTGTTTTCCTCATAAATGTGTGTGTTTTGTTTGGGTTCTCCAGTACATACATGCTATAAAGACCGGGAGGCGAACCTGTGACCTTCTTGCTGTGAGGCAACCGCTCGAACCACTGTTCCAACATTCTGCCCGCAAAAAGTTTAAACATTTTAATTTAAATTAAAGTACTTATAGCTCCAACTGTGGCACTAAAACTCACCACGGTGTGTTCAAGTACTGGAAAATGGCAGTATTCCTGTAAATTCAGGCATCTCATTCACATGACCAACAAAGTCCAACCTGATTGGCTAAACAGAATCAGCTGTTTGATGCAAACATTAACCTAAATGTTTAACTCAGGTTAAATTGTGACGAGTCAGATTATTGATTATTTTTTTCTTTAATTTCATGAACAATCAGAGGAAGAAACAAAGTGTGATTTATTCTGAGGGGAACGTGAACAAATCAGAGGAAGCACGGCGCTGAAGCTCTTTGATCTGATTCTGTGATTCAGAGTTCTGATTGGAACGTTTAAAACTGAAATACCTGACTCATATTTAAATGTGGACACACTGAGAGACCTGCTGCTGATTAACGGTTCTTCGGTTGAGGACTGAACCTGCATTCTGACCTTGTGGGACTTCCTGTAGATCAGCTGATTGTCTCTGAGGGTAACCCAGCACCTGGAACGAGTCGGAACATCTCAGCGTTTCAACAAACTGTGACAAGAACAGAACGCAGCAGGTCTGCAGAACAGTACCTCTTCCAGGTCTTAGGTTTCCTTCTGGAGCGCTTGAACAGGTAACCCTGCAGGACCGTGCTGCTCTCAGAGCCAAGACTCATCATAGGGTCTCCTGAAGCGTCCTGCAGGCAGAACAAGGCAGAACTCTGTCAGACAACTGAGAAAAATAATGTTTCAATGAACTCATCAATTCTTCAGCAGGTCAGAGATGAAAGAAACACAACTACAGACAATAATATGATTTTTAAAAAAGAAGAACAAAAACCAGCACGAACAGTCGACACACAGTATACACTGCAACAAGAACAGTCGACACAGTATACACTGCAACAAGAAC